GAGACAGGTAACCAGGCAGCGAGTGCAGTTTCAGGCTGTGATGAGGATGGTCAGAGAGGCCTCCCTTGGAGGAGGGGACATGAAGCTCGGGCCTGAAGGACATGGAGGAGTTGGGCAGGCAAAACGGGGAAGAATGTTCCTGGCCGCGGGGAGGGCATATGCAAAAGCCTGGAGTCACGGGAGAGGATGGTCAGTTGGGGGCTCCTGAAAGCCACCGGCCTCGCCCTCACCTCCCCCTGCACCCCACAGGCACCTTCAAGATCCAGAAGACACGGCTGCAGCATGAAGGCTTTGACCCATCCCAGACCTCAGACCGGCTCTTCTTCCTGGACCTGAAGCAGGGACACTACCTACCCCTGGACCAGGGCGTCTACACCCAGATCTGCTCGGGCTCCTTCTCCCTTTGAAGCTCCTCCTTTGCTGGCCAGAGACTCCCGGCCAGGCCCCTCAAGCCAGGCAGGCTGGAGCCAGGCAGCTCTGCCCTGTCCTGGGGCCGAGAAACTGGACCCAGGAGGAGCCCGTCTCCCCTGCCTGGTCCTCTGAGCTGTCTCCTTGCCCCTCTCTGCCTGTCTTCTGCTGTGTCTGTGTCTCTTTCTCCTCTCTGCTTCCTGGCCGTGGCCTCCCCGCTGTCCCCATCTGTCCTCACCTTTCCCCTCTTTCCTCCATCTCCCCTCTCTCCTCCTCTGTTCTCCTGTGAAGTGCAGAGCAGACATTTCCTGGGACCCGGCGTTTGCTTGGGGCCTCCACCTATCCTCCCTGCTGAGCCTTAGACCAGAGTGGGGCCTTCCCACTTCCCCTCAGCTGTGCCTTACGGAGCCCCACCCAGCCCCGTCTTCTGAGGCTGCTGGGTTCCGAAATGTGTAGTCCCATGTGAAATCCAGGCAGGCCCTCTGCCCGCCCTGCCAAATGGAGGCGCCAGAGTGGTCTGCTTTCCCCACCCGGTGCAGGGGCATCAGCAGGGACCTCCGGGTCAGCTGGAAATCGCTCCTAGGCCAAACCCGTTGCCTTTTGCACTTCCCATCCCTGGTGGGTCTCCCTGCCTGGCCTGCCTTTCCTGATGTCCTGGACGCTTCCAGAATTGCTGTGACCATTTGGATGTTGCCTCTACCTGGATGTCCCTGTTCAGGCATCTGCACAGAGCTCCTGCTGGAGGGACCCTGAAGACTGTGCTGGGTGGCTGCTTGCCCACCACTCAGATGCTCACCCTGGAAGAGGCTTCTTGGGTGTCCCCATCCAGCATAGCTGCTGTGGGACCCATGGGAGTGGCAGCAATAGGGGGGTGGGGGTGGGTGGTCTGCCATTGGTGGCATCCGAAATGGCCTCAGGGGTTCCAGTCATTGAATGTCCCTACTGGCCTTGCTAGTGACAGCCTGGACCTTGTGTTGGTGGTGACACCCTAGACAATCCAGCCTGCCTTGGTGGCTCCTCCCATACTCCTGTTGGGGCTGGTTACTTTGACTGCCTGTCACTCCAACCGTGCTGTCCAGCACCTAGAACAAAGAGCAGGAGGGCCAGTAGCCAGTGACCCTGCATTGTGTTGCACGGGCCTTTCCAAGCACCGAGGTTTTGTTGTATAGTTGAGTTTAAGAAATAAAACTGCAGAATATCCGATGCCTGGTGTGAGCCCAGTTGTTCACTGTCCCCATGTGGCACAGAACCCTGAGGCTCAGAAGACAGGATCCTCACTGGGGAGTGAACATGCTGCACCAGAGAAGCGAGGCAGATTTGGCCTTTTCTTGTTGCCCTCTGTTGCCTGTTACACCAGCACAGCCTCTGGGAGGAGGGGGACTCAGGTTAGCATTCTCACTGCTACCCTTAACCTCTGGGGCCTCACAAAGCCCTGTTCTGACCTCAGTGGTCCTAGGGGAGAGTCGGCCGATCTGCCTGTTGGTTTCAGCAGCTGCACAGAATGGCCCAAAACAGAGCATGTGTTGTGGGTGGCACGGTTTGCTGCCCCAGGAAGGGTGCCTGCCCCTCTGTGTATGGGGCCAGCAGGTGTGGCTGTAGCTCTGGGTGAGAGCTGCTGAGCTTGTAGCTTTGGGTGACTGAGCTGGAATATTAACCCAGAACATTGAGCTCCAGAGTCTCAACTTTTACCTTCTGCTGTCCCCCCTCCAGTATTAGTGTCTCATCTCGTCTCCACTTCAGAGGACAGAGGAAGAAATGTTTGTGACAACAGAACATTGGCTGGGAGGGGGTACTGAGTGGGTGAACCTGGGGGTGTATCGGGGCACGGACAGGGCCTTGGCTGGGTAAGGCTAGAT